TCTCTCTCACACACACACACATATAGAGACACAGAAATACACAGACATGCACACACAAATTTGTTCTTGATCATTCCCAGTATGGTTCAAGGACCAGCCTCACAAATCATCCTCCCCTCTGATAGTATAGCCCACAAACACTTTGGGGCATGGCTTATGGCCAGTTCCTCTGCTCCTCTGACTCTATCCAAAATATGACTAAGAAGATAAAATGTGTTAGGGTCCTATAATCTCTCCCCATAAAATTAAATCCTTTCTTATCTGGGTTGATTTCCTAACCTTCTCGTATCCCCTGGATCCTTCAGCATCTGAAAGGCTGGGATTACTGTAATGCGAGCTAAAAGTGTGGCATACAGAGTGGCTCTTGGTACCTCTCATGTTCTTCTCATTTGGTGGCTAAGAAACTCAGTCTGAGGCCAAGTTAAATAAACTCCTCTCTGGAAGTCAGCAGAACAGGTCCACTTAAGTCAACTCTCCAGTATAAGAAGTATTGAGAAGAAGGCTTAATTTTGACTTTAGATATCAGCCCCACTCAGAGCCAGCACACAGCTTGCAGTTCCTAAATGCCTTTCTCCACAAAAGGAACCAGGGTTCGTGGAGAAATGGCTCGTTCCAGACCAGAGAGTAAGAACTGCTTACAGAATGACACAGTGGAGCCAGCTTGAAGGGGCTTCGCTGGCCAATTCTGGGATAACTTTATCATTGAAACAAAAAAACGGTGATAACTTTATGAAACATGGAAAAAATTAAATTCATGAGTCCATAAAAGAATGCAGTAAAAGAGACAAAGTCAAGTGTGGGAAAATGTTAACTGGTGAATCCAGGTGGAAGGTATATGAATGTACTGTTATTCTTTCAACTCTCGGTAGATTTGACAAATTTTTCAAAATAAAAAGTCGGGGAAAGAAAAACAAGAATCAGCTCCTTTCCCTAACCTGGATATTCTGAGCTTACTAAACCACTCTTTCCTAGGTGGGAAGATGTGAGTACAGTCTTCCCCTGAGCTCAGTGACTTCAGGCCCTTCTCCTATTATCTTGGTTAATATAACCTGTCAATGGTTATGAATGAATCAATCACATAATGGATTTAAATACTACCGTAAGTTGGGTTAATCATAATTAACATAAACTTTGTCAAGGACATGACCAAATAAAGGTGCTGTAATGTCTGCTCAGTGCTCTATAACTCAAATATAAAGTATTCTTTCTGGAATTTGCCTGTCACTTCTCCTTCCATCTAAGGTTCTATATGGCACTCAGGAAAAAAAATGCCAGGGCCCACAGATGGTATCCAGCAGGATGCCCTCCTTCTGCGTTAAACTGTCTGAAAGGATCACTTGGGCGCCATCTGCTGGGTAAATGCTTGCACTGCCACGGGGCTCGGGCACGGTGCCCTGGCCATCAACGGGCCGCTCAAGTGTGGCTTCCCCGTAAGAGAAGCAGCACCCAGCACCGGGCAGGCAATCAGCAAACAGTGAAATTAATTGCTTCCTCCTCTGAATTGCCCTCACATTAATTTAATGCCAATATGAGGTATAGGCGATAAGAGCTTAATAACATCCTAACATCACAGTGATATCTCCTTAAGGTCAAGCCCTGTTTCCATAGGCGGGCTGGGCTGTCCACTCACTGAGGAATCATTGTTTTCCCTGGCGACTAACCCAGTGCTGCACAGGAACTGCTCCACAGATGCTGAGAGTGTTTTTCAGATAACACTGTGTGGAGTGAGGCCTTCTGAGCAACACAATGGGACTGAACAAGCAGAACTGAACCGACACAGAATGAGACAAAATCTGACCATTGTTCTGTTTGTTTCACTGCCACACTCCAATTTTTTTTTAAACTTTTTTTTTTTAGTCTCTCTTCTCTAAATTGCAAGCTCCAAGATGGCAAGGACCACATCTGTCTTGCTCATCACTGTATGTCCAGCACCCAAGAGCATCCATTCAAGAAATATTTTTTAAACAATGGTAGATTGATGAATGAGGGCCTGGGCTCTGTCCTGCCGGCCAAGCAGCAATGACCTGTTGTAGCAATAAGCCAGTTTTGCTGTCCTTGAGAAAGCCTTGATCTGACACATGGATACCATCACTAGTCCAACCACTCAGACTCCATATAAAGCCAACTCTTACACTGAGGTCAAACCCAAGACTCAGCCAATAGGAGCTATTTGGAAAGACACACATACGGGATTTCTCTGAGCACCTGCTATCCTTCTGTCTCGCCACCCTTTGCTTGTTACTATTTACCATTGACCTCCTGTGTGCAAACATTCTTCCCCTTCTCTACCCTGTCCCCTAAACAAACGCACTTCCTCACTCAGAGTGACTGGAGTGTTGTTCAGGAAATATTTGTACCCCTGACCCTTGGGATGGAGTATACTTCCCTAGCCGACTGATTTGGGGCTTAGCCATGTGACCTCTTTTGGAATGTGCGTGAATGTGATGTGAGCAGAGGCCTTAAATGTGCCTGTGTGTTTGGCTTGGCCTCTTGTGTTTCTGCAACTCCCCCTGAGAAGAGCATGTCCCAAGTAGCTGCTGCCCCTTTGACCTGGACCCTGAACATGGAATTCAACCGAGACCAAGCCAGTTGAAATCAGTTGAGCCCCAGCCAACCCACGGACCCATGATAAAAAACAACAATATCTGTCCTTTTGCGATTGTTTGTTACACAACAAAAACTATTATATATGAACATATTATCACCACTACCCCTGAAAGCTTCAACTTAAGACATTCTATTCTCTGATTACAATACCCTTTCTGTCTAAAGGTTCCACAGCTTTATTACCACCAAGCCCACTTTCCTACCACACTGAGACATCCCTACTCTCTCTACCAGGCTCTTTACGGTTTCATGTCCTACCACCTGGACAATCATGTCTTAGCCAATTCTCCGATCTACCAAATGCCTAGTTCAGCTCCTCTCTGCCCGAGAGCATTTCCCAGTACCTGACTGCATCGCCTGCATGGGAGTTCCAGCTTGAACTAGGTGCTCAGCCTTGCTGGGACCTGCCTCTTTCCTTAGCCCTCACTCGGCTGTCTCAAACCTTAGGTACTCTCAAGCCCAGCCTCACTTCCACTCTGCCCTCAGCAGAGATTTCACTTCCCACTTTTCAGATAAAGCAGAGCTTTTGAAGTGGAGATCAGATAGTACCATGGTTAAGAACAAGGGGTCTAGAACTGTGCCGTCTTAGGTACCCTCCTGGTTTGCCCACACCTGAGCAAAGGCATAGCTCAAGCATCGGCTCCTGTCCAAAACCTCCCCTACCCCTGACTCCGTGATTAACTGCTCTTTAATCTATGTTCTGCCTACGCCATACCCTAGTTCACAGCTTCTCCTTGGCTTCCCCCTGCACTCAGAATAACATCTAGACTCTTTACCTGCTTTACCTACCTACAAGGCCATGCACGATCTGACTCCTGCCTATGGCCCCAACCCCACACATAGCCCTTCTCCATTCACTCATACAGAGAAAGAGCGACCTTCCATATCCAAAGGGAGGAAACCCCAGTTATCTTATATACTGCAGTGGTTGATGTGAAATCTGAAGCTGTGCTGTATATCTGACTATGTCTATCTTAAGCAGTTTTATTTCTGGACCACCTACTAGCTTGGCAATTAAGGAGCATATAGAATGATGATAGATTTACTGTGTTCGTTTTCACTATATGCCAGGCAAAGCGCTAAGCGCTTCACACACATACCTCCTTTAATTCTAGAAACAGCCCTATGACATAGACAGAATTCTTCCCATTTTAAGAAAAGGAGACTGAGATTAGTGAGATTAAATGACTTGGCCACGGTCACAATGCAAGTGACTGGCAAAGCCATTAGCTACCCCAGGCCTTTGTCATTCCAGAGCCTGTGGTCTTGATCATTACGTCACAATGTCCCCAGAGAACAGCTGCCAAAGGAAAACAGGGGTGAAATCCTGCAGCTAATCTACCTAGAAAAGAATCCACCAGACTACTAAATTCAATTTCCTAGAAACCACCTAAGATGACATCGAAGTTTTAAATCTGCACCTGAGACCAGCCCTTTAAAAGTTCTCTGTCTTCTGGATAATTTAACTCCCAGGCTCACCTTGAAGCACCAGCACAGCCCTTCCCCTCCAGGTATAATTGCATTTCTCGGCTGCAGACCACAGACTTCACCCTTTCCCCTAGGCTCTTGAAATTCATGGCATTTTGCTAAGGGTGGAGCAGACAGAGAATACCAATAGCTCTCCGGCCTCCATCTCTGCGCACTGGGAATATCATTATACGAGTAAAATCGCTCAGGCTGTAAGACCATCCAGACTGCTTCTGACTCAAGTAGGGAGCGTGTAAAACAGGCTTAACAAAACAATAATAGTTTGTGCACTGCTCCAGGTCCAGACTCTCCGAGGGACAGTCACCGTCAGGGCACTGCAGAGGGGTGTCTCCAACGGAGGCGGAGGCTACGTTTCCACTCCATTTTCAAAGGACTGTTGGAGCTCACAAGGGAAGCCTAATAAAGGCTAAGTCATTCTTGGAGCTCAAGTCGAACCCAGAAAAGAATCTCTTTCCCGAACAAGCGGCATGCTGACCATTTGACGTGGTCTCAGGAATTAAACTCAGGGTTCAGAAAATGTACCAATAGACATTCATATTTAAAATGCATCACAGACAGCATTCTGATGCCTTATTCGCTGTTTGCTGGTTGAGGCCAACCGTGGGGCTGCTTTAGGAAGGGCCACAAGGCGGGCTGTGCGCAGAAAGCCTTGGCCTCCTTCAGGAGAAAGGGGAAGATTTAAGAGCAGACAGGAACCTCCTGTGGCCAATTCCAAACAGATGACCACAGTCCACGGCCAGCAGATGGAAACGCACATATTTGTTTTTTTATAGCTTTATCTAAGAAAGCCCTCTGGCCACAAGCTTTCCAGAACTCAGATCCCAGCAAGAGAGACCGCAGTCCAAGGCCAGCGGAGGCCCCGACGCTGAGGGTGTGCTAGAGACGGGCCGCCCGGGGCTACTCACTCATGCAGTCACCTCCGTGCCAGCCAGCCCGGCACTCGGCGCAGTAGATCCCCTTCACGTAGAAGTCATCCAGGGTGCCCCCCCACGAGCCGTTTCGGCAGGTCTTGCAGTTTTCAAAGATGGTGCAGCCTGAAACATTTCCAAGGAGAGGGGGTGAGTCAGCAGCGCCGCACAGCCGGCTGCGTGGGGGACACCGCTCCTTCTCGGGCCCTGTCGGCGAAGGGCACCGGGCCCAGCCAGGGGCCAACGCGCTTCGGGAAGAACGCCCGTTCCTGGGGAACGCCAGTCACCAGAGCTCAGGCCGAGGGCGGTGAGAGCCATCTTTCTAGTTAGTGGCTGATACGTTCAAGTAACAGGAAATAACCTGCAGCAAAGGTTGTTTTGAATCTGTCAATACAGTATATTTTTTCTCTTTATAAGGGTATTACATATTGACTGTAGAATATTTCGAAAATTCAGACAAGCAAAAAGAATTAAATTAAAACCACCTAAAATATCATCACCCAGAGCAAACTGGTCACATTCTTTATCTGTATATATACAAACACATTTTTTTAAAATTAGGCTTATACTATATACTGTATACTATTCTGGTTTTGTAACTTACTTTTCCATTTAATAAAAATAAATACCTCCCCATTTCATTGAATATCCTTCTATGTCATATACTTCTATGACTAAAGTATGCCTTTGGAAACCACCTTTGTATCTAACAGTGGCCTCATCCTGGAAGATGTCAGGCTTCCCCCCACCAGCAGGCCATACCAGAGAGGGGTGAGCAGTTCCCAGGCAAGGGTCATTTTTTTAAAAATATATATTTCTTGATTTTAAAGAGACGAAGAGAGTGAGAGAAACATCAATTTTTGTTGTTCCCTTCATTCATTTGTTGATTCTTACATCTGCCCTGACCAGGAATCAAACCCACAACCTTGGTGCATTGAGATAATGCTCTATCCAACTGAGCTCCCCGTGCAGGGCTTGGGTCATTTTTAAAGCATGGTCTCTTGAGGGGTGGAGGATGGTGAGGGAAGGTAGAGATCATTCAGTCCCACTTAGGACAGACAGCTAAGTTCTAGCCCAGCCACTGTCCAGCTGTGTGTCCTTGAGCAGACTGCTTAAGCTCTCTGTGCCTCAATGTCCTCATCTGTAACACTGAGGTTAAAAATAGTACCTACCTCATAGGGTTGTTTTAAAAATTAAGTGAACACATGTAAAGGGCGTGGCACATATTTAGTACCCCCAAAATATGACCTATTGCTATTATTCTGCTTCCCCATACCTCCATTTGGCTTATCCCTACCACTGCATAAAGCATCCTCAATTTTAACTACCTATGATCTATTTTCCTATAACAGAATGAAGTCTCAGACTGCACGGTGTTCAACATTATATCCTCAGTACCTACTACAGTATCTGCCACATAGTAAGTATTCGATAAATATCATTAGAGTGAATGAATAAATGGATGGATGGATGGATATAGATGAATTGCTAACACAATCCTGAACTGTTTGAGATAACCAGTGTTTCCTTGAGCTGACAGCATACTTCTTTGCTTCTGGCCGTAATTCAGTTTTGTTGGCCTGTGATATATATATATATATATATATATATATATATATATGCAGTGTGTATATGTGTGGTTTCTGTAGGACAGACTAGTATCCTCTCTTCACATACCAGCCTGATTTTGATTCCCTCTCCCAGTCCCTCTCCCACCAGAGAAGAATTGCTTCTATGATGATGCCTCATATTCAAGTGGCCCATCACTGGGTCCCAGTGGGGTCCCTGTGCCTTCTAAAGGCCATCTTCGCCCATGTGCCACTCTTCCTCTTTGCTTCCCGTATCCGCTGTGCCACTGAGGAGGCAAAGGGACTCAGAGTATAACCTCAATGCTCCTGCCAGCTCTCTTTCTTGGCACAGTAACATGCAGGCCATGACATGCAAGCCACAAAAACCAGCCTGGTGATTAAGTTGATTGAGGCTCTATTTAAAAAGACACTAAGTAACTCACAGAATTGCTAGGAGGGCCAGGGGCCCGAGTTCAGAGCTACGCAGCCTCGAACCGCACAAAAACACCTCGCAACCTTGGTCCAGCAGGGCCCCGGTGCGGCTGGACATTCTGGAAGCCACCGTTCGCGTTCCTGCCACCGTGCCCCTGGGCCTTGATCCTTCTGCCACCACTGCCGCCAGCACAGAGAAGACTGCTGTCACCCGTAATGACAGAAGTCTCTAAAGCCACCTGAGATATCATTTCTCATGCATAAAACTGGCAAAACTCCCAAACGGCATGTTCTGTCGTGAGGCTTCGGGATAACGGTGCCCTCGCACGCGGCCACTGGGAGCGCCAAAGCCACGGAGGAAAATTTGGCAAAGGCAGGCGAAATGACACATGCCCCTCCCTTTGACCTGGCAACCTCTCTCCTAGGAATGTACCCCAAAGATACACTGCAAAATTACTAAATGATGTATGCCTCGGGCTACTCGCTGCAGCGTTATTTATATTAGCAAACAGCTGGGAACGACCCAAATAAATACTCGTAAACTGTGGCAACATGCAGTTCAGTTGTGCGTAAGTGCAAGCAGGAATGAAGAGGACAGCTTCGTGCTGTGGGTGAGCGACCCCCAGCAGACGGTGTTAAGAGCCAAAAGCAAGGGTAACCTTAGCGCTGCTATGGTATGCTGGCCTTCCTGCAAGAAGGGAAAGATATATAAATGTGTGTGTTTATATTTGCTTGTATTGTAAAATATAGAAAACAGATGGAGATGACAAGCCTATCTGTATGTCACATAGGTGGCAAATTTACAGAAAACGAACTATAGGCACACCTCGAGACACCACAGGTGTGATTCTAGACCACTGCAACAAAGTGAGTTGTGCACTTCTTGCTGGTGGAGGGTTTTGCCTTCGATTTGATAAAAAAATGCAACATTTATAAAGCACAGTAAAGCAAAATGCAATAAAACAAGGCAGGCGTGTACATCAATTGGCTCTAAAACATAGTACATACTTTGACTTTATACAGCTAGTGGGATATATTCTAAGGTCAGTAATAACCTCAAAGAAATCATAACCTCAATCAGTGGTCTTATTAGTAATAGTACTAATGGTGCTATTGTTATTGTTATTTTGTACAATTATATTATGCTCTAAGGTAAGATAAAGAAAATAAGCGATTAGGTTAGTATTATTAGAAAATAGGATGTTCACCATGGGGGGAAAGAGATACAAATATAAAATCAAAGAAGTTAAGTAAACAACTTTATATTATTACATATGAATTTGAATATCAACATAAATTCATTTTTTTAAAAACACACACATTCCCTAGCTCCATTTGCTAAATAGAAGATAATACAAAAGAACCAGGAACAATGACAGTCCAATAGCAAGGAACACCTCGGGGGCCTAGACTGCGTTCTCAGACCAGAGTTCCCTGGAGACATGGGTGACCCGAGATCTGGGGCCAAAAATGCACAAGAGCATGAATCCTCTCGTCATGAGAGAAGTCAAGGAAGCCTTCAAAACCTCGTGTGGCCATGTCACAAGGACACAGGAGGACCTGAGGGGCTCCCAGTGTCCTAAAATGGGATGAAGTGTGCACTAAAATTGACAATGACTAAACAGATTAAAGCACATAAATAAATAAAAATGCCTGCGTTCATAGTTCACAATCACACACACACACACACGCCTCTTGGATCATCAATAGTAGCTGCTGCTAGGCCATCAACTCACTATTTTGAAAATTATTTATTTATTTATTAATTTTAAAAAGCCTTATGTAGCCTTTCCTTTCAGGGTAACTAAGTGGTTAATTTGGGACTGCTCTTCACTTCTTAGATCCAAAGACCAGTCCAGGTGGTGATGTCAGGCACCTCCTGAATGCTGTAAGAGGGAGCACGGCCCCACCTGTGAAGTTCTCACACCTGTCCGATCACCCCACGCCATCTCATCAAACCAAATTCTCACCCTCGCCCCAACAGTAACCAGTAGGCTTTTGAAAATATTGAAAATCCTTTAAAGACTTCAATATCACTTCAAAAGACCCCTCATTGGGGGGAGAACCTGGCTCAGCTCCAAAATTTTCCTAAGAAAATTTGGAAGCATTACTCAACTGTCCTTACAAACCCTACTCACTCATCAGGGGACTGGGAGAGTGGGTTTCTTTTCTGGATCAAATGTTCAAAGTTTACACTGAAGTCACTCCTATTCTAAAGGTCGGCATTACTGTCTTCCAAGAAGGCTTGGAAGTGTCACTTGGGTAATTGAGTTCCATTTCCTTTCTTCTTTCAGAGCTTCCCACGAAAGGAAGAAAGTTCCTGGTAGGAAGATGCTGATCACACTGGAAGCAGCTTCTTCAGTCTGAGGCTCAGTGTCCACACTGGCCTCCACCCAGACAGGCACTTCAGTACAAAAGGACAATCACTGTCCCTCCGTGGGGAGGACAGGGAGAGAGGTGGTTGAAAAGGTAGGTTCAGTTTGATGCAAAGACAAAGGAATGGTCGCCACGGCTGGGGAAAGTCCCATCTCATCCTGAGAGGCTCTCACGTTTCTGGTACCACCTCCCAAGTCCAGCTCAGAAGCCAGAGCATCACCCTTGACTTCTGCTCTCCTCTTCCTCCATCCAACAAATCCCAAATTACTGTTAATTCCATTCTCTTTAACACCTCTCAGATCCTTCCACCTGCCCCCAGCTGTGCCCTTCCTCCAATTCTTTCTCCAGACTGCAGCTTGAAAAGCAGCTTCCACCTATTTACTGAAAGATCTCCGATGTCGCTGAAGTATCTTCAGGACATAGACTCGGCTTCATGGCAAAGCTTACAGGGCCCTTCAGTGTCAGGCTGGCCTAGTTCTCTCCTTCACTCTGTTCTCTCTTAATCTTTTCTCTCTGTCTGTCCAACTCTACATTTTTCTCATCACACACACACACACACATACACACCACAAACTTTTTAGTTTGATGGAGTCCCATTTGTTTATTTTTTTCTTTTGTTTCCATTACCCAAAGAGATATATCAAGAAAAATATTGCTATGAGAAGTGTCTGAGATTTTACTGCCTATGTTTTCTCCTAGGAGTTTTATGGTTTTGAGTCTTACATGTAAGTCCTTAATCCATTTTGTGTTTATTCTTGTGTATGGTGTAAGAAGATGGTCTAGTTTCTTTTTTTTTTGCATGTATCTGTCCAATTTTCCCAACATCATTTATTGACTACACTGCTTTTACCCCATCGTATGTTCTTGCCTCCTTTGTCAGATATTAATTGCCCATAAAGGCGTGGGTTTATTCCTGGGCTCTCTAGTCTGTTCCATTGATCTATGTGTCTGCTTTTATGCCAGTACCGTGCTGTTTTGATTACTATGGTCTTGTAGCATAGTTTCATATCAGTCTGTTCGTTAAATGAATGAGTGAATGAGTAAATGAATTCACAGTTTTACAAGTTTAACACCGAAAAGGGTGCTAACTCCTGTAATTCCTCCAGTTAGAATGAGCTGAATTATGCCACTCTTAATAATCATGGCATCACAACCTCCTGATGGCTGCCTGTCAGAATTCAAGTGCTCAGCCTGTTCTCATTCATGACCTCAGAAAGCCCAAGGCAACCTGAGGTCTCCCAGTCTACACTCACCTGGGTGAATCAGGCAGGAGTCACACTCATTGTCCTCGTTCCTGCAGCAAGGGATGGTGTAACCCACGATTTCCTTCTTTCCGGGGCAGACGCATTCAATCTGGTCATATTCACAGCACTCGCGACACATGATATTCCACTCGGCTCCGGGGCAAGCTTCATTAATGACGGTGTATTCTGAAACGGAAACCAGCAGGTAAGGACAAAGGTCCTGGCAGGAAGGGGTAAGATCCATAAGTAGTCTACTGCTAAAAAGCAACCTTGTCCTGCAGATGTGCTTCCCCTGCCTGAATGATGCAGAAGACTGCATACATCCTTCCAGGCCGATGTCTCCAAAGTAGGCTGGCTTACCTCAAAGGGTGTTCAAAACCATCCACTGCAGCACAGATGGAATTTGTTAGGACTGCTATTCATTTTTATTTTTTAATAAAATAAGAAATCATGTTTTATCAGTATATAATCTAAGTGGATGACACAGATACACATATGTGGTTTATAAGCAAGTACACATCTCTTGGGTATGTATGCTCATTTTTATCTTTGCTGGGGTGCGTCAGGCCACTGCTTACAGCTGCATGGGTTCTACACTGCACAACTCCAGGAGGAAACACTCAACTGCACAGCTGCCCAGTGCAGCCCAGGTACTCGGGCCATCAAAAAGTTTGGAGACCGGTCTCTAGAGTAAGCCATTCAAGGGCAAGGCTGATGGCCAAGTAGAGACCATGTCATTTCCTCCAAACTTGGCTCCTCCATCTCACAGCATGCCATTGTTATGGTATCTTCAAAGCTAAAACCAATAGAAAAGACAAAAAGTACCTTAATTAGTATGTTTGGGAGAATTTCAATGTTTTACAAAAGTGAACCCATTGGCAGAACTTTATTCAGTCCCGACATTCAACTGAGCATTCTTTCCCATGAGGAAAAAAAAAAAAAAGTATTCCTTTCTGGGTAGGATTTCTGTATTTCTTTCTTTTAAAACAAAAATACACCTTAAGTAAATGAAAAATAAAAACAATTTGGTAAAATCTATAAGAGGAATCCGTTGAAGGCTACCCAGAGGGACCCAGGCTGAGACAAACTTAGCTTTGATGCTTCTTTTTCCCCCACTCTCCGTTTCTGAAAATGTTGTACAAAGGTGACAATTAAAGCAGAAATAGGTCAGATATTTGAGGAAAAAAACTGAATCTGGCTTCCCTTTGAATCCTGTTCTAAAACCCTGGGCAGGGATCCCCAACATGCCTTGCAGGCCCACCTCAGCATCTGCGGTGGCTTCTAACCTCTTGAACTTCATAGTTCAGGTTTGTTTTCCACTACTAAACTTGGAAGTCTGACCCAGAGGTGATCATTCTTAATTTGCCAAGCAGAGCCATCTAAAGAAGCATCACCATCTACTCACAGCCTCTGGTCATAAGAACATTCTAGCATCACAGAAAGAACCACTTGCATAGTTAGGTTATTTTCCCCCCCCACATTGGTGAACCAGTAAAGATCCTCACACTGGCATTTCGGAATGACTGGCATCGATCACTGTGATCTTGTCGCTACTGGGGTTTTGTATTTGTTTCCCTCACTACTCTCAGACCCTCCAGCAGACAACAGGACTTATTTAGCCGAGCTTCCCATGTTTCTGATGCTGACTGGATGAAGTGGATGGCTTCTAAAACCCAGATGAGAACCTGATGCTTAAAAGTGAAGGAAAGCAGAAGAAAACATAGAGGTAAGTCTCCATGACCTTGGAACGGCAGTGGATTCTTACACATGATACCAAAAGCATGAGCAACAACAACAACAAGAATAGATAAGTTGAAAGATTAACCCACAAAGTCATTTCACCACTCTGTTCCTCAGTTTCCCTACTAAGCACAGGGCTGAGAGTGCGGGCGAATCGATGAATTCATTCTTTCATCCCACTGTATTTACTAACTGTCCACTATGTCCCAGGTAGGACTCTGGGTGCTCAGATACAGTGGAAAGAAAAACAGATGCCATCCCTGGCTTCACAGAGCTCACAGTTTTGCAGAGGAGTAGATGTTGGATAAATGACCCCCAAAACACAGAATACTGACTACGATAAGGAAAACTTAAGGTTCTAAGAGAGTGAAAAGACATTTGCATCAAATCTATGAGACTCGCATGGTGGGAGGGATGGTAAATAAAATCACAGATAGAAATCTATTTGCCAAGATTAGAACACTTCCCAGGAACACAGAAGTGAGGGAGGAGGCAATGGATTAATGGTCTGGCAAATCAATCCCCTTCTTTCTCCCCACTGAGACAGGAAGATGCCCCCATAATATGAGTAAGAAATAAATACATGCCCGGCAAGGCGTGGCTCAGAGGTTGAGCATCGACCTAGGATCCAGGCGATCGGGGTTCGATTCCTGGTCAGGGCACATGCCCGGGTTGTGGGCTCGATCAATGAATCTCATCATTGATGTTTCTCTCTCTCTCTCTCCCTCTCCTTTCCTCTCTCTGAAATCAATAAAGATATATTTTTTAAAAAAAGAAAGAAAGAAATACATAAGTGAAGTATTCTATGAGAAATATTTATAGTTGACCAGCTAAAGAGACTGAAAAACACACTGAGCAGGCAAGAACCATTTTCTGGGCTTTTTCTCCACTTATTAGGACATTTACAGAAAAGGCACACTGGTCATTTGCTGTACAAATCTCATGAATTTCAACATGGTGCTAAAGGCCAGGTCCAGAAACAAGGATTTAGAGAGACACCCATAGCGTAGAAGTTACTGAAGGGTTCATACAGGGATAGGCAAAAGTAGGTCTATGGTTGCAATAGAAATAAATAATACTATAATTAATAAATAATAATGCAATAAACAACTCTGTGTTTCACGTGCTCACAATGATAAACCTACTTTTGCCCTACCCTGTATATGTATGCTAAGGCACTTTAGCATTTGTTTAGCTAAGGTGTTTTTGTATTGTTTATGCAATTTAATCTTCAGAATGACCTGGTGAGAGGTGATACATTTTCTTTTATCTTGAAAACACCTAGTCCACCTCTTCACTTTGCCAGTGAGGAAAAGAGCTAAGTAAGGAAGAAGCAAAGAGATATGCCAGAGGAGCATTTTTAGAGAATTAATTCTGGGGGGGAAGGGAGGTCCGCAGAATCCCAGGCCTAGGGAGGAAGCCTGCTGCTTAGGGGGAAACAGGCCAGGACAACCTCCAGCTACACCACCTCCTGGGGCTGAGCAAACTGAAGTTGCCTTCCACATTTAAAAAGAGTCTTGTAAAAACTGCAAACTAATTTTATCCTGTCATTGCTTCCCAGGAAATGGAGCGATCCCTCCTTTCCACAGGGGATGCGACCTGAGACCCCCAGTGGATACCTGAAGCCACAGACAGTGCCAAACCTGAGGCACACTCTGCTTTTTCCTATGCGTACAAACCTGCTCGCTTAAAGGACGCACTTTATGGCTTCTCTTTGGCATATCTGAACTGCCATCATCACTACTCTTGCACTCTGGTGCCATTTTTACTTGAACACAAGCACTGTGACACCGCAAGAGTCGATCCGATAACTAAGATGCTTACTGAGTGGAAGAGACTGACGGGCAGGTAGTGTACATAGTGTGGAGACGCTAGACAAAGCGATGATTCACATCCGGAGGGGACACAGCTGCACAGTACGGGGTTTCATCACGCTGTTCAGAACGGTGCACAATTTAAAACTCGTGAATCGTTTATTTCTGGAATTTTCCATTTAATATCTTTGAACCACAGTTGACAGGAATTGGAACTGCAGAAAGTGTAACCGCGGATAAGGGGGTGCTACTGTAAGCAAATAAAACAAAAAGAGCTCCTGGAGCACTGCCCTGGGACAAACTGGGACACTGAAAGGTCCCGCACGTGCCCACAATCACCCAGCAAAATCAAGCTTACAGAGTCCCCACACTACACACAGGGGTTCATCCCTAACTTTTCCATTGGATAAAATATTTATTTTCTTCTTTATAAAACACAATATGCTTTAATATAAAAGATTCCCTGTGAAAGCTTTGAAAAACAAAATCATAAGAAATAAAAAGTATTCAGAAGTATCCTTAATATTTTGTTGTCTATCCTTCAAATTGTCTTCTTTCAATAAACATATATATCCACATGCAGATACTGATAAATGTGCACACACAGTCTTCTCACCTCTCAAAACTGGTAATAATGCTTTTGTTTTAAAAACTGCTTTTTTTTTTTTTTTTAATGTAGATCAGTAATTTTCAACGTTTTTATCTCATGGCACACATAAACTAATTACTAAAATTCTGCGCCACATCAAAAAATATATTTTGGCCAATCTGACAAAAAATGGGTATAATTTTGATTTGTTCACCCTGAATGGCTATTATTGTTTTGATGTCATTTTTTTGACAAACTAAGGGAAAAGAGATCAGTGCCCCTAACTAAATAGTCAGGTTTTGCATGTTTTAAAAATTCTCGTGGCACACTGGTTGACAATCGGTGATACCAACGTGGATACTTTCTCTTGACATTGAGTAGTCTTCAAAAGTGATTTTAAGTCGTTGCATCATTATACTATGTGTACAATTGCTCTTCTCCCTTACTTTTTATTTTTATTTTTAAAATATATTTTTACTGATTTTTAGGGAGAGAGGGAGGGAGAAGGCGAGAGAAACACTGATGTGAGAGTGGAGCCTCCTGCACACCCCCTACCGGGGACCAAGTCCTGAAACACGGCACGTGCCCCGACTGGGAATTGAACCAGCAACCTTTTGGTGCACAGGACAACGCCCAGCCAACTGGGCCACACTGGCCAGGGCCTGCCTTCTTTTTTAAATCAGGGTGAGCACATATCAAGAGAATTACAAATCCTTTGGCATCCTAAGCTCTGCTCAAGCCCTTCTTTCAACAGCCATGCTCGGGGAAGCCATCCTCTTATCTCCTAACCAGAGCGGAGAGTCCAGTCATATTAGTCCAGCTCTGGATATTCAAGAATCCACTTTGGAAAATGCAAGACCCTTAACCTCTTAGTCCTCTTTTAGCCGTGGGAATGCCAAAGCAATGACCACAAGGCGGGCCAGCTGGCACAGTTCAGCTGGTGGTGAGCAAATGAATGAATGAGTGGGCTGTCATCACCATCATCATTACTCAGCACGGCCCCTCACCAGCCTGATGGTTTGCCGCAAGGCTGTCCGATGCTG